AAAAATATCACATAATACTTAAACTGCAGCATATATAACTGGTAATGAGAATATATCACACATAATGTAAAAATATCACATAATAGCAGCATATGTCACAAAGAATACCAAAATGTCACATAACAAAAACATATGTCACATAATACCAAAATGTCACATAACAGCAACATATGTCACACAGAATACCAAAAAATCACATAACAGCAACATAAGTCACACATAATACCAAAATGTCACATAACAACAGAATTTGACATATGTTGTGTGACATATGCTGCTATTATGTGATATTTTGGTATTGTGTGACATATGCTACTGTTATGTGATATTTTGGTATTCTATGTGACATATGCTATTATTATGTGACATTTTGGTATTCTGTGTGACATATGCTGTTTTTATGTGATATTTTGGTATTCTGTGTAATATATATTGCTGTTATGTGATATATTCTCGTTAGCAGAATTTGACATATGCTGCTTCTGTGTGATATATTCTCATTGCTAGTTACATGATAAAATGTGAATTTATAATTTCTTGGTGATCTTTTTTCTTTGGCATATCAAATGGACTCTGAAAGTAAAGTTCTTACAGGTATCATAATTAATACCAACAAGTCACACGAACAGGTAATATGTCACATTTAAGTAGTAAATGTCACAACAAAATGTCAAAAGTAACATGTAACAGACAACAGTCATAAAAGAGTTTGAATTCTGTCAGGAAACATTAATCTTGGATAGGTTCAGTGCATGTGGCTCGGTTATATCCTTCAGCGTGACATCATATCACAAATAGGAAGTGTTCTCGCCACACGAATCCAATTGTTGAAAGATTCAGCAACATTGAAAGTGGTATGACCATAAAATTCACTATCATAAATTACAGCCATGTGTCACATATAAACAATAAATATCACAAGCAACAACAAAATATCACATATAATAGATACAAGTCACATCTATTAGAGTCATTCCACATGAGACGAGTGAATGTCACACATGAGACGAATAAATGTCACACAGATACAAACAACAAATACATCAAAAAAACACATCACTCTCTCTCATAGGCATTTTCCCAAACATCACATATTCAAGAGAGCCCATTCAACCAACAAACACAACAAACACAACAAACAAGAGGAACCTTATTTAACATTTAAAAAAACCTTGATCACAACTATATTACATATTTTATGCATAGTTCAAGCAGAAACATCACTAACAAACTGAACATTACAACATCTCTTCTCGACCCTCTTCCTGAAGAAATTCCCGACCCTCTTCTCATCACCGACGCCTTCTGGTAATCCCTGACCCTCTTCTCGAAGAAATTCGTCTTCCCCTGCAACGAAATCAACTCCATCCAATCAAACGGGTTCGAAGCTCCATACAACTTTCCAATCCCCAAAGCCCCCAACAAGCGACCTTCGCATATGATTTGAGCAACAAGTCCTGCCCGTAACATCTCAGACTCCCATTGCAAGGCTTCAATATTTATTGTCTCCCTTCCCTCTAGGATCACCTTGATGAAAAAATATGCATGTATGCCACAATCATATCTGTAAAAATATCACATGACACTTAAACTACAGTATATGTAACTGGTAACGAGAATATATCACATAGAATGTAAAAATATCACATAATAGCAGCATATGTCACACAGAATACCAAAATGTCACATAACAGCAACATATGTCACACAGAATACCAAAAATATAGCATAACAGCAGCATATGTCACACAGAATACCAAAATATCACATAACAGTAATATATGTCACACAGAATACCAAAATGTTACATAACAGTAGCATATGTCACACATAATACTAAAATATCACATAACAGCAGCATAAGTCAGACGGAATACCAAAATATCACATAACAGCATAATATTCACCCAGAATGTCACTATGTCACATGAAACCAACATATGTGACATAATTGAAAAGTGTTTTTTACATCATTATGACTTACTTTAAAGATCCATACCATCAATAAAGAACAGTTATGCACAAATATGATTTTATAGTCATCATAGCCAACAAATGTCCGCTTCTAACTTTATTTATGATTTGTGTATCTATAGACACATCCAAGGTTTGAAAGTCGATATTGACCATGGTGTCTCTTTGCATTTATAAGCACAAGTATAAACGATATGGAGGCCACACCTGGAAAGAGTATGAGCTCATTCTATCATTGATTTCGTTTTTATCTTCCCAGTATAAAAATATCATGTTAATATTTGGTGCTACAAATCTCAAAATTTCCCCTAAATTAGCTGTTATTAGTATTTGTCAGGTGTATCGACCACTTTATTATAGACCAGATTAGCATGCTTAGAATCATTGAACTAATTTGCACCGAAGCACTTCCTCTTAAAAATAATCAGCTGAGAATAAATTGTCATCGTCGTTAAACCCCTGATGTCCACTTAAAAGGGGGTTAAAAAAACAAAACCATCACCTTTGTTTTGAAATCCACAGCTCGGGCCTCAGCCTTGAAACTCGAAGCAGCAATCTCCTTGAACCCACGCTTCAAAGAAACCGACGAATCAACCCAAACTCCATTAGCCACGCTGATCTTGGGCCCACCGCTGGCCGATCCATCAGAGAGAACAAGGTCAACGATCTGAGACGAGAGAGCATTGAGATCACCGAAGGATTTCGATCGAAGAATCGACAGAATCGAAGAATCGAAGAATCGACAGGACTTTGAGAGGAAGCAACAACGACGAGGGGATGCTCTCTTTCTCCTCCGCCCCAACCCAACCAAAATCCAGGTGGGTCCTCACCGTCACTACCGTCGGCGACGACGCCGATTCCGACCATTCGGATCTCGAGGCATCGATTCATTGGGAAGAAGGGGGAGGGGAGGAGGGGGTCGGGGAGGAGGGGGGATGCAAATGAGGAGGGAGGAGGAGGGGAGGGGGGGAAATGGATTGAGTTTTAATTGGAAAGAAGGGTAATTTGGGAAGTGGTTTTCTTGGGGATTGGGTTTTGGGGTTGGTTGCACATATTTTTTAATTTTAGTGCTTGGGGGTTATGGTTTTTGGGCTGGGGGTGAGGATGCTTGGCCCAACTATTTCTGGTTCCTTCAAGTAATTTTCCCTATTTTTTTTAGAATTATAGATTGAGGAGAAAATTGAATGTTATTGTGTCCGTACTAGTGTGGATACCCATGTTTCAGCATTTTGGTTTATGATCTGTGTCATGGTAATATAGATAATACAATTGCACGTAACTATTGACAGTCACATTGTTTTGTTCTTACTATGTTATACCCAGTATTTGATTATGATAGGTGGCAAACACATTCGATTTGCTTTTCCATCAAGATTATTCTTAATTAGTGTAAATTTATAGGCTATGTTGTGAAAGTACTGGTTATGTCGTGAAAATATTGATTTTTATGATATATGGATATGCTTGTATACAAGTGAAGTATTAGCCGTGCTTTGAAAACGGGAGTATGTTAGTAATTTATTTTGCCTAATCCAAGTTTTGATGCGAAGTAGCCATGAGATGGGATTTCAGACATTATGTTCCATGATTTTAAATAGGTAAAGTAAACATGCGACAATACTGTTAGTTTGAATCTTCACCTCTTTTCCTCATTCAACTAAGATTGTGAAGTACACGGTGATCATTATGCGCTAGCATGAGAGATTACTCTACGATATATTGAAACATTAAATGATTAAACAAGCTATTTGAAGAAAATCAACTCACTCACCTTTAGTTTTATAGGAAGAAAAAGAATTTTGCTTAACATTTTTCAATTAAGTGAAATGCATTTCAATTAGGTTAAAAACCTGACATTTATATTTGTAAAGAAGGGCCAAATGTGAATAAACACAAGTTCAGAGGGGTTAAATAAAATAAACAAAGTTCAGAATATTATCTGGAGAGACCCGCTGAAGTTTAATATTTCAATTTAGTGAAATACATTTCAATTAGGTTACAAAGTTCAGAGGGGTCCAAAGGCTGCCTAGTGGCGGGAGTCACTTCGGCATTTAATGTGAAGCGACAGGAGGCGCGTGGTGCTGACATGGTCTGATGTGTTATAATAATTTTCGGGGATGGAGAAATGATGATTGTGACCATGTATTTAATGTGATGGCGACCAATTATCAGCGGGGGGCTCAAGGTATGTTGTCGCCTTTCTACTCGCCAAGTAGATGGCCAAGAAATATCGCCTTTCGAGTCGACCCCGAGAGATGTCGGCCAAATAGACGGTTGTGTAGGTTGCTTTGTGGAGTCGACCTGAGGAGGTCGACACGTATAACCTTTTGAGCCAACTTTGCGAGATGTCGAGCTGTCCGAGCTGGGGACTTTTGGTTATCTCGAAGCGGTGAAGTGATTTGATTAAGCAGTTAATAGGAGACACTTGTCTGCTACTGAATGGAGATTATTGTTCAATAATTGAAGCACTATAACATAATTATTCTACATTATAGTTTAATTTTTTTATAATTATACATTATATTATTAAATAATTACTTAATTTGTAAATAATTTTAGATTAAATTATAAAAAGTATCCAAAATATAAAAATTACTCGTACGGTTCTTTATACACAACTTTATTTATTAATACAAGTATTTATAGTAGTACAAAAGTCACTTCATAAAATTTGTACTCAAGAAAAAAAAATTAAAAAAATGTATGCCTATGTGCAAACATGCATTATACCAATAAGAAAAGGGAAAAAAGTGGGGCTGAATTTTGTTTTTACGATTTACTGAGGGAGGTTCCGTGTAACTCCCCAAAGTGCACGGTGTTTTATCTAAATTTTCAAAGTTTATGCTCATTTTATACAAATAGTTACAAAAGTTTAGGGCTCTTCTGGAATTTAGCCAATATTGATTGCGTGCGATCCCATGTGCTTGGGTCCTTCCACAGACTTTTGATTCTGTCCGAAATCTGAAATCGCCCGCCATCAAATCCCGCTAAAAATTTTAAAAGCCTTGAAAAATTTCAATATCTTTCAAAATCCCGAACTCCTCTCAATTCCTCTAAAATTTTTTAACATCCAACAAAATTCAAACTCCCTCCTCTCTCTCTCTCTCTCTCTCTCTCTCTCTCTCTCTCTCTCCCTCCTCCAGTGAGATCTCGTAGGGATTTGCTCGTTTGTTGAGGATTGATGACCTAATCCCAGGTACTTCTCCTACTCTAAGCTTGATTTTGAGTCCAGGATTCGGAGGTCCGTTAATTTTTGAGTTAATCCCTAAGCGTGTCCTGGAGAAACTCCCCAATTTGATGACCCATTTCGAAAAATTGGATCTTTTGGGATAATTTCTGTCTGATACAGAAGAAGATCCCCAAATTCGATACCAGCAGGCAATTCCTCCTAACACACATCAAAAGTTCCTGTTTTGGGAGGAAACCCTAGAGTTTCCGCGGGTCTCAAATTTCCTCTAAACCCTAAAAATTTCCACAGCTGAAAAACCCTAATGAGAGAGCTCAGGGTCGAGTCCTTCTATGCTCGCCTTCGTGAATCAGCCTCAGCTTCATCGTCGACCCCTTTGTTAATTTTCCCCTCAGCCTCTGACGCTGACTCTCTCTCTACACTCAAAATCATCACCCATGTTCTCTGCTCCGATTCCATTCGCTACTCAGTGTACCCTATCTCGTCTTTTGATGAGATCCTCAAATTCCCCAATCTCAACCTTCAATCCCCCGACACTCCTCTCTCAGTCCTTCTCATCAACTGGGGATGCCATCGAGACCTTCGAAGAATCTTAAAACCTGGTATAGATTCTCGGGTTTTCGTCATTGATAGCCATCGTCCTATCCACCTTCACAATTTGAGCAGTGAGAATGAGCAGGTCATCGTACTTTATACCTCAGAGGATGAACAACAAGCAGATTTAGCTTATGACTTTGATGTCTCTGCGTTGGCTAGTGTATCCGATTTGAATAGCGATGATGAGTTTGCAGAGAACAGTGACAGCGATAGTGACGACGACAGCGACAGCGACAATGAGGAGCGTAGAAAGAAAAGGAGGCTGTCGGAGGAGAATGAATCGGACCCAGTTAGACTTTTTGGAAAGTTGAAGAAGGAATATTACAGGTTGGGTACTTTTCATGGGAAGCCTTCTGGTTGCTTGATGTTTGAGCTGGCTCATTCTCTGCGGAAGAACACAAATGAGTTGCTTTGGATGGCTTGCATTTCTTTGACTGATCAGTTTGTGCATGAGAGGTTGACCAACGAAAGGTACCTGGCTGGGGTTATGGAGCTCGAGCAACATATAAATAGTTCAGGCAATCTCGATACAATCTCCTCAGTTACTCTTAAAGATGGAACAAAGGTGCAGGCACCAGAGAACTCAAGAATAGCTTATGAAGACGAGCCACGCCTTATGCTCTTGAGAGAGTGGAATTTATTCGATTCGATGCTTTGCTCATCTTATATCGCGACCAAGTTGAAGACTTGGAGTGACAACGGCATGAAAAAATTGAAGCTTTTGCTGGCCAGGATGGGGTTTCCTCTTGTAGACTGTCAGAAGAAGTTTCAATATATGAGTATGGAAGTGAAGCAGAAAATGAAAGATGAGTTTGAGCGTTTTTTGCCGGAATATGGGCTAACTGAGTTCTACTATAGGAGTTTCTTGAGAATTCATGGGTATTGCACGAAACTATCGGCTGCTGATGTAGTCTATGGGGTTACAGCTCTGCTTGAATCTCTTGCAGAGAATAAAAAAGAAACTTCTACTGCTGAGCAGTTTTGGGTAGCTTATTCTGCATTATCATTGAACAATCTTGATCAACTTCGGAAAGGAATGCAGAGTGCTATTGAGATACAAAGAGCTATTCTTAGGCAAGGGAGCTCCGCGATTACTAAAAGTGGGTTTATCCGAAGTGGGAGAAAATTTCGGTGGATAAAGCTTGAAGACCCTGTGGACACAGAGAGGTTGAGATATCCTCAGGCTCTTACAAAGTTCTGCTACTTCTTGATGGATGCCTTGAAGGAAAGGGGAGCAAAGATGAAGCCTTTGATCTGTGCTTGCTTGGGAAAAGAACATGGCAAAGTTCTAGTTGTTGGAGTTTGTGGGAAGCCACGACTTGGAGCTATTCAAGGTAATTCTTTTGGCATTGCTTTTAGAACTGCTGCTGAAGAAATTGGTGCTGAGTTTTTTCATGAGCTTTTTGAATCTTCTTGGATAGTTTTGGATACTGTTGCTGTGAGTTCTTTCATGATTAGATTAACTGAAAAGCTTTGACGTATTTCAAGTGTAATTCTTCACCAGCTTACTGATGTTGAAAAAGTATCCTGAATCCAATTGTATTTGTTCGGGACTCCGAATTATTCTTACTTGGTGCATCTGTCCAAGTATTAGCTACGTTACCTTCATGTTTTAAATACTCAAATGTTGATTCCTAGTGTATTTGTTCCAAATGTAACTTTTCAGTTAAATGAGTTCTTGATTCTATGATCTTTTAACTGTTGTATAAACATTAAAATGCGCTTCTTTGTTATTTAGATAAATTTGCATTTGGTATTATGGTTGACATCTATGATTGTTCATATGGTTAACCTTAAGCAGATTTTAGGCTTGATATCGAATGAGAAAAATATCCTGAGACTTATCCTGTTGAAGATTGATTGTTTAATCAGTAGGTTTTGTCGTCAATTGTAGCTTTGATAACTTAACTTATTATAACTGCAAGCTAAAGTTTATAAGACTTTGCATTCTCTTCTAGAGACAGATTTACTGGTTATCAGTTAATGTCTATTTGTGCGTATCTGCTACATGTGAAATTTTCTGTTCTTAGGTGCAAGAGTCATTTTTATGTCTTCCTACTAGAAGCTAGTAGTTTATCAGTTAACTGATGGATATTAATCCAAAATTTGGTTTTACATAAAACAATGCAGTGTTTATACCGGTGCCTTCTATATCTTTTAACTTGTAGTATTAACTAAATCATACTGTACGAGTTCGGTAAAATTTTTTGGTAGACAAAAATAACCTCGGACTCAAATATTAATCCATTATGATGAATTCTTATTTAATATATACATAGTAAAGTGCGAGTTTGATAAAAATATTCCATGGTCAATGTACATATTAAAAAACACGTCATCAACTACTAATAAATAGAACCAAAAAGCATACGAATGTCAGTTTGAAATTGTTATGCGTTACAAATATTATACGTTATCAAATGACATATTAACAAACACATCAATTATAACTCAATTTAGTTAGAAATCGTTTAGTGTTAATATGTGAACTAATAATAAAATAATAACAAATACATTAACAAGTAAATGCAGTCGACCTCAAATAGAACTAATTATATGAAATTTTTATCCCGCTTGATCCTATCCTAATCTCACATACTAACAATTTCAAACTCTAACAAATTATATAAATTATATCCAAATAAAACTCTATTTACAATTGTTAACCTTTCACATGCAACATCTCATGCTTATATATACATGAACCAAGAATTACATAATTTTATCTCTTCCGTCTCCTATACACCTATTTTTTATCGTCTAGCACAACTATATCTAATAATATAATTATATATAATAATAAAATATATATATAAGATAATATATATATATAGTAAATAATATAATAACTATCATAAATCGTACCCCGACACCAAACAGTAAGGGCGTCCCTCCATGCACGTAAGGAAATTCGCTACCGCAGTATCACCTCGCGTTCTCAATATATATAATAATATAATAATAAAGAATAACTATATATATATATAAATAAAATTATAATAAGTATATATATGATATCTATGTACCACATACCATTTTCTATAATATTATATATAATATTAATATAATATATAATAATAATTAGTATATATATATAAACGTATATATAAGACGTCATCGTGTAGATAGCATCGATATATAAAAAAAAAAAAAAAAATTATATATATAAGCAAAACTTCTGTTCAACTTAAAGTGACGTCACTAAGTTCTATCCATTGGAATGATACTTGATTGCAGCATCATTGTGGATGATCCGCTCCGTTTAACTTGATCTACATATTCTAAAACCTTAGCACACCAAATTTGGGGTGAACTCGTTGTGGTTTGACCCTCCGTCGAGCCATGTAAAAAGTTCTATTCACTCGAAACCGTTAAAATTGATACGAGTGGATGAAGGGTCAAACCACAACGAGTTCACCCCAAATTTGGTGTGTTGGGGTTTTAGAATATGTAGATCAAGTTGAACAGAACGGATCATCCACAATGTAGCTCAATCAAGTGATCATCAATGTATAAGAAACTTAGTGGACGTCCACTTAAGTTGACAGAAGTTTTGCTCTATATGACAAAAAAGCATGTGAATGTCCATTTGAACTTGTTATCAGTTTCAGATATTTATCGAATGATATATTAACAAACCGTCAATTACATCTCAATTCAATTTGAAATTGTTTAGTGCTACTACCTGTACTACCTGAACGAATAATAAATACATTAACAAATACATGCAGTTAGCCTCGATTAATTATATGAAATTGTTATCCTCCTTTATCCTATCCTAATCTCTCGTACTAACAGTTTTAAACTTCAACAAGCTATATAATTGTTATCCAAATAAAACTCTATTTACAATTATTATCCTCTCACATACAACATCTCATGTCTATACATATAAATCAAGAATAACACAATTTCATAACACTTTTGTCTCCTGCAATATGTATGTTGTTCCTTTTTTGTCGTATAATATTTTTCTTCTCAATTTTTATAATAGCTTTTATTTCCCTTTTCTTTTTGTTGTTATCTTTATTGATTAAAAATTCCCCTAGTTATAACACTGGAAGCACTCCATAATTTTAGTAGCCTTTTCATATTTAGGTTTTTAATTTTCTGCAGCAAAGTTGATATTTTTAGCATGTTTATTAGCAAGATTATGAGAATCTCAGTGATTTGGTATTGTTATTGTCAAGTTTTTTTTTTTGTTTCAAATCGTTTCAATTAAGCCTTCAAATTGCTTTTGATGTTTGCTCAATAACTATATAATTGGTGCAATGTAAAGTCCTTTCTTTTCTTTTCTCCTTTTTTTTCTCTTTTTTCTTTTTCTTTTTCTTAATCATGCCAGTTGTGCACTTTGTTCCTTTCCTCGTAACATCCCGCAACTGATGATAAACATAGTGTTAAAATAGTGTTTTCCATATCTAATTCATCTTTTCTCATAATTGTTCATCAGAGATGCTATGATTCTAGAAAGCAAGCTACTGCTCTATAGTATAACAAAAATTTATTCATTCGTACAACTAAACTTATTTCACAAATTCTCCTCAACTCTAACTCTATCTACAATTAGCCTTTAAACCATATCTTTATGAAATATAGTTTTTAAACAATTAGTCTTTCATTACTATGTAACTAAACCGAGAATCTTATGTTTTCTTTGTTAGAAGTTAGCAACTTAAGAAAATATTGAACAACAGCCCATAAAGAATTTATAAGAATTTTAAACTGCATGTAAAGAATTAGTAATTTACCAAAAACCCTAAAAAAATTTAAAAATTGTAAAAGCACCCTAAAAATAAAAAATTCAAACCTAGCAGCGGGAAATATGATAGTTATAAGTAGAACCAAAAATATTTTTAAGTTTGCTTAAAACAACCTAAAAGTGTAAAAATTACAAAAAATACCCTCATAATTAAAAGTTCACCAAAAGCCGTGAGAGTTTTAACCCCTAAATAACATTACATTAAACATTTAGGAATTAAAAATAGACCCATAAATAGTATGTAATTTTCATAAAGCACCCTTAAAGTTTTAAAATTTACAAAAAACCCTCAAAGTTCAAAATTTTGAAAACCTTGAGAATTTCAAACCTAGCAATACACTAAGATATGAGAATTGTAGGTAGCGTAATAAAATTTTATGACTTACAGAAAATATCCTAAAAGTTTAAAAATAGCAAAAACCCTAAAAATTATAAATAGCCCTTAAACAATGATCAAACCTTACAATACGTTGGAAATATAGAAATTATAACTAGCCCTTAAACAATTTTTGTTTGTAGAAAATATCATAAAAGTTTTATAAATTGCAAAAAAAGAACCCTCTAAATTGCAAATCCTCTAAATCATTAAATAATAATAGTAACCTTTGTCACAAGTTAGAAATTTAAAAAAAATCCCTTTCATAATTTTTTAAAATATTTAAATAAAAATTATAGCATATTCAATAATCAATGTTTAGAGATTTTGACTCGAAATGAATTTGACTGAGTTATAGTAAAGAATTAAACGAAAAAATAAATAGCAATATTAATCACGTGCTTTGCACGTGCATATGAACTAGTAATAAACAAAAGCTTCCTTGAGAAAGAAATAATTATATTTACCAAACTGCTTGGTTTTAGATAATAATGAACAGTTTTACACCAAAAAAACTAGTCATGGAAAAGCTATGCCTCTTATTTGAGTCGTAATGAACCTGAATCTATGTTCTATTATAAAAGAAGGGAAAAGACTTGCTCAATCTATGAATTTTGGAAACCTTATTATATTTATCTTTAGTTTGAAAGTTGTCCTGTTGGCCAACAATTACTTCTCTACCCTAACAGTAACATTTATCTTCCTTTGCTCTCTCACTGGCAATTATCTACTATATTGGTGGCAATGTTAAAAATAACGACAACGTATAATGTTACTGTTACGCCGTGAACTACAACAAAAATTTATAAATATGAGTTTCGCGACAGCTAGGGGTGTGCAACGGTCGGTTCGGTTCGGTTTTTACCAAAATTTGAACAACCGAACCGAACCGCTATAATTCAAAACCCGAACCAAATTGTTGACAGTTCGCGTTCGGTGCGGTCGGTTTGGTTTGTTCGGTTCTAACTCAATCAAATTCTTATCAAACAACAAATTGTGTTAAAGAAATAAATATATCAAACAAGTAGAAGTTATGAAGCATTAATCACTAGATATAATGATATTGTTTTCAACCCATAAATGACCAGAAAATTGAGTTTAGAGTTTGGTTTTTGACTCTTTGGTGATGGTCGGGCTATCGGTTTGGGATCAGAATGGGTAGTTTACACTATATTCGATCGGTTTGGGTCGTTCGGGTTGAAAAGTTTTCAACCGACCCGAACCGCCCTACTTCAAAAACCGATTTCTTCGGATCGGTTCGGTCGGGGTCGGTCGGTTTTTTCGGTTTTGGACGCAACATGCTCAGCCCTAGCGACAGCGCGACCTAACGCATAAGACAAGTTTCCGTGCAGCAAGTTCAAGCTAGATACTCCAGTATAACGATAGCCTATCTCAAAATAAATCAATATACTTGCTTATGATAGTTAGCTTCGAAGCAAAATTGTTTGGATATATATATATATATATATATATATATTTATATAATAGTATTATATATATATTTATATATATATATATATATATTATATATATATATATATATTATATTATATATATTATATA